CATTCTAAAACACAACTCGGGGTTAGATCAAGTTCCCAAATAATTAGGACAGGCTCAGGACATAAGGTCGTTTCATAGGGATTGCGTAGTAATACTGTTCGAGATAGAGCTTAGGGTTGTCATATTATCCGATGTACATGTATACCCAGCGTGAAGGAGTATTCTTCTTCACGCAACGTCTTCTGTTTATACTCATACCTATTGTTCACATACTTATCTCTTTACTAAAGAAGAACGCCATTATTGTACCATCCTCAACTATTACTTATTATACCTTTACCTCTTCCGTGAACCCTATACCTAACGCTGACTTTATACCTCCTACTCTTAGGAATCACCACCATACTGCACACCTATAACCTTCTTGTACCCAACTCGTACCCTACGGAATACCGAAAACATAGTGCCTTGAGAGTGGTCAAGCGAGCGCTTGTCCCATTATAAGCACATAAAAGTACAAGTTGAAGACTAGAATAAGCAAAAAGCCGGAGACTCGGATCCAACGAGCACTTCAGCAACTGCCACTACCGGCGCCAGCATATTCACCCAAGCTGGGAACAAAGACGGAAGGGATCGGCTCGCACAACTGTTGGATAAGATCAATCTCTCAATCAGATATCTGTGCTTAATCAGATGGGTCCTTGGAGGGGCAGGGCCGCTCATCCTGGGGCTATGTTCTTCAACGCGGGAGATCGATATATTAGAAGAATCAAGGAGCTTACTATGGATCAGAGGTTTATGATGCGGAGATAATGGGAGCAACAGTCGCACTAGCTGCAAAAATCTCCGGCGAGAAGATCTTTGTGCTGCTAGACAACCAAGCCGCAGTGCATGCACTCTAGATGGGAAATCCTCATCCTAGCTCCGAACAACGCGGGTCTTCAATGAAATCGCACGGATGGCAAAAGTACAATTCAGATGGCTGCCAGGGCCCTCAAAGATAAGTGGAAATGAAGAAGTCGGTGCTGTAGGACGCTCAGCACTCTCGACACTTCCAGCCCGGATACATCAAGCAGGCATATTCGCGTAGATTGATGTATCAGGGTCGACAACAGCTGATTGATATCTGGTGGTCGACATCATGTCCAGTCTGCTACCGCGACCTGGACCTACAAATGCGCCGTCGTAAACCACCTGAACTAGGACTTTCTCGATGCCTACTCCATGAGCTTATTGCTGTTCGAACTGGGAACGTAAAGATTGCGGCATATCCCCGTCGATTTCATCATGAGGATGCTACACTAGAATGTGTTTGTGGCTTGGAAACTACACCAACCCACTTTATTCGCTTCCGAAGGCACGCCAGCCAGATGCGCAGTCTTGGATATTTTATGCCAGTAGAATTATTTACGAGTCAACTTCTTGGTTACAACTGTATTGGAAAGTTCACGGAATCTGCAAGGATAACCGGCTGCTTCGGGAGCCTGCCTGCATACACGTCCTCAGCTGGATGCGAGGATGGCAGTAATTTGAATGTCAGTAATTAAGTGGTGGTTGTGATGGGCGATCAACAAAACAATATAGTAAAGGAATGGTGGCCGATTACTGTCTATTTTCTACATACATCTCGGAACTGTCCACCGAGGGGATGCTACTTAAGGTGTCCCAACTCCCAATGCGCTAACCTCACTATCTATTCTACTACATCATATCCTTGATATTCCGAGTGGGCTCGTCATAGCGAATCTGGGTCGTATCGGCCCATGATTCCATATGAGACTTGCTGCAACAATATCTTGTTTCCATATTTGTTGCAACCCTGTATTTGTATGGCCAAGTTGGACATCTCTCTAGATAGCAAGGCTAATGACGTAATAATGATAAGTGTCCGTGCGACAGTCACTAGGAGATAGGCGCAGCCTGTAACAGTGGTTGAGGGACTTAAGCGTGAGGAACACTAGGTTGGTTCCTATCATGTTATTGTTTTATGTTTTTGTAGTCAAATACCCTTACGATATCAGATAGGGGTATAAATAGTGTGATAGAGTAGAGCACGCCTCCAGGTGTGATTCCTACCGAGTCGACCGGTCTCGTACCACATGGTGTTGGGCTAGAGCCTTGGACTTGAAATTATCATCACCACCGACTACTTTTCTAAGCACAGGTACTAGACTCACTTTGAGTGCGGGCGACACTATAGACACCGCCATGGTTGGATGGTGCGGTGGTACATGTCTTGGCCGTTCTGCCAAGTAGAATCTGGATAGCTTGGACACATATCCCACTCGAGGCAGTAGATCGCTGGTTCAGATCCGGCGAAACACAACCACATTTCTCGCGGCGCTAGTATGCATGGATGACGAAGGCATGCTTGGATAACCAACGGTTTTCAAATTCCCTTTGGTGGGTACTTACGGAGGAGGGTTGACTATTTGTGTAAGTAAGCATACCTCATAGTGGTATTTGCGAATGAAATCCAGAGTATGAGTGTCTCTAACGTCAAAAGATTCATCCTACATGTAAACATAGCACTGGTCATGTGTCATAGCTAGATAGCTGAATACACATTAAATGATTAAAAAACGCCAACATAGGGTATACGCAATCTCCATTCGCCAAACACCAGTCGGTCGGGACTACTAATTATCGAGCCTAGTAGGATCGACAAAGTGTCTCACAACACAGAAATATTAGAAGACTCAATATCCAAATCCTTCATCAATAACTGCCATTAACCATCACCTGACTTATCACTGTGCTCCACAATCTCATCAGGCCTGGCATTTGTTCCATAGACTGACCCTACGTTCTGCAGAGAGCTAAAATGCATCTAGCTTGCCAAAATAGCTCTTAATCTGTGCAAAATTTTTAAACTTCTCCAGCCCGTTATGTCCGAGAGGTTGTCTCGTGCCTCTAAGCTCATATATCCTCTAAGTTTAGTTGTCTGAGCCTTGTGTATTCGATGGGGTATAAAATGGTGTGGCGTGTTAACTAGTCCATAGCTACGAGCCAGTCTTCATGCTTAAACTGACGGTGATACGCCGCAAACCTCTCATACGCTGATCTGGCTGCGGTTAGCTCATGAAGTAGTCTCCAAAGCAGCGATGGTTCTGGGGGTTCACGTTGTCACATTTGCAGGCCTAAGTCTTGGTATCGAATTGGATAAGCAGTTGACCACCATTTGTCTATCAGTTCTTGTCTTCGCTTTTGCACGAGACAACAAAGGCGAGCAAGGCCGACATTGCTGGGTTGTTTCTAGCTATCTGCAAGTAATTTCAGTGCAGCCCGAGCGTCTTTTTCTACCTCCATATCCGTATGTCCTGGGGCCCATCTTATATCTGCGTTGAATCTATTTTTTGATTAGATTTTAATTGCGTGCGCAGCTATCTACCTACGGCACAATATCCGAGAAGTATAGAATAGACGAGTCAACTTCAAATTAGAGCACTCATGTCTCGGATTGCATTTGCAAGTACTACTGTGAGGTTATGGCGGCTTTTTCTTCATCTCAGGCCAGCCCTCATCCTTGATTATCCACCCAGGGAAACGTCTCAAAATTCCCGAGTCATCCAGACGTGCTTTTACCGTCCATTGACTTGTCTCCACGCGAATTGTGGTCTGAGTATTCTCATTTGCAAGCGAAGTAGGCACCTAGGCTACTCAAACTATACCAGAGAAGACCGCCATGAGGCGTACCACGGCGCCTCTCCTCGTTGTCTTACTGATACAGTGTCAGCTGCACTCTCGCAATTGAAGGCTTGGTACGCAAAATGCTCTTCGATCTGAGAATCTTCTAGTCAAAATTGTAAGTCTCACAATCGTCAAGATTGTACTCTTCTTTTGTATCATCTTCTCAGATTGTCCTCGATTCTCTCACATCCATCTCAAGAATTTCCTCCTCACCTTGTGCGCTACAATTTGTTTCCTCTGGCGGATATGAATGTCGGTGTGGGCGTGTATTTGATGTCCAGCTGAGTGTAGATAAAGTTGATGAGAGGTGTGGTCATTGAGATGAGGATGTATCTAGTCATACTCGCAGAATTTATGAGGTTTAGGTAGTAATTGATCTCATTGGAAGGGAGAAATTGATTTGCTGGCGTATTTTGAATCATTGCCTCGTGGGCCAACGTCATTAGTATTGCAAAATCAAAGTGAGCTTGGTTCTCGGAGCATATTCCACTGCCCTGTTCGTAGAGTAAACCGCGTACAGGTTTTCAATCTTTGCCCTCGTCTGGATTAAATCTTTGCACAGCATTTTGTAGGACGCGGATAATGCGACAGCTAATAGACGACTTTCCTATCTGAAAAGCTGCCATAAGCATCACAACACAATCATTACAATTAACCCAAACCTAGTAGCAACTCAGAGACGTTTGGCCCGAAATCTCCGCTTCCGGGAATCGGACGCGTCATAATTCGACTTTTAAATGTGTTTCGGGATGGTTTATTCCTTTGTTTTTATGTCATCGGATTTGGTCGCGAATGTAGCTATCTAGCTGTGAGGTAGTTTCTGTGAAATTTTGGTACCCGAAATTCCATGTATACTTTTAATCTATCTTTTTACATGGAAGTATGTCATTGTGGTGCAATTAGGTTGTTAAGAGCCTGCATACCATTTGTATAAGTTGGGCTAGGCGCATTGTGAAGGCTGCATGGCTCACATGACATGATGGGCACATTTGCCCGGCTGGGAGAACACCACTTACCAAGTGGATGGACTAGGTGCATTGTCTGCAAGCGAGTTGGCTGCGGTATATAGTGCGACATATTCTCGCCAATCGGAAATCAAACTCTCCAGTACACGCTGCTATCATCAATTTAACAGATATCCGATTATTCTCAGCTCATGATATCTACGCTACTCGACGCAAGTGCACGTTCCCCATGCTAGAGACCACTTTAGTCTTAATCAGCAGAGCTTGTATATGTTTTTTTGTAGGCGTAAGAGATAGTTTTGGAAAGGAAGATTAATTCCAATACCACCATCAAATCTGGGATTAATTTGTGAGCACCATCTCTATCGACAATAGTCTAGTGATAAACTGAGACGTCCATCAATAATGTCCAAGTCAACATCATTACTTTTGCTGCCGGCTACAGTCACCGGTCTGACAGTCGAATCCCTATGTATCGCATATGAAACCGCTGTAACAGCAGCCATTTCATCCATAAAAATGTATCCTTTTGAGACCGAACTCCTAGTAGCTATTGACTGGAACCTTTTACATAGACCAGTCTGTCCCTCGAACACTGAACTATTCGAGAATGCTCAAAAGCTTGTTGGATGTGCGTATAGTCTGATCCACAAGGTCTGCGTCAAGTTGGGGGTTGATGGGGGTCCCGCAGAGGGGAATGAAATGGATTTTCGCATAGTACTCATGAACTACAGTGAGACTTCTCTTCATTGTCATTCCAAAACTTTGAAATGGCCACTCGGACCTATCTTCCAGTTAGAGTCACTCGCGGCTACGAAATATTGTTGGAATTCAATCTTTTCAACAGAAGACCAGGCCGGCAAAGCATTATTAGAGCAATATCGACATGTCGAATCTCTTATTCATGCATCGTCACAGCCGGAACCAAGGCCGTCAGTGATCCAAGAAGACACACGCCACGACTCTGACGCAAATAGCCAGCAGTTGAAGAAACATGCTTCCATAGCTGTTGGTGGCTCTTTTGATCACCTTCATATCGGCCATAAATATTTACTTACTGCCACATTCCTATTGCTTCAATTATCAGATACTTCTAGCTGCGCTAAACTCACGATAGGAATTACAGGGGATGATCTGCTCGCCAAAAAGAGTTATTCAGAGCTTATACAAAGCTGGGAGGAAAGATATGAAGGCGTCCTCGACTTCGTTCTTTCACTTCTCCCCCTATCTTTTACCGATCGTCGAAATGCAATCATGGCGGCTCAAAAAACTAACACAGATCCCGAACGTCGGATAGTTTCAATAAGCTTCCATGACAAACAATTATCTATTGAATGCGTTGAATTGCGAGACTCGTCTGGTCCGGTAGTTACAAATGAGTCCATCACAGCACTCGTCCTTACGAGAGAGACGCGCTCAGGTGGTATCGAGATCATGCGAAAGCGCGCAGAAAAAGGCTTGCAACCGCTCAAAATCCATGAGATCGATGTCCTTGAAGCTCATGAAGCGGACAACGGGCCATCAACTGATGAATTCGCTCATAAAATCAGCAGCTCGAGTATTCGAAAGAGATTGGCGGAAAGTTCTGGGTTACGATCTGTAAATCCAGCAGGTAGTAAGCCGTAGCTCTTTTGAGCGCAGGGCCAGTCTTCATGGTGGAGCACCAGAGATTTGGAGCATTAATCACCGTGGGAACGAAGAAGTTCAGTTTGCTTGATTAAATGATGTGGGACAGCTATTATGATATAGACACTAGAATTTCAAAGCAGAGAATTTCTCCATAATGTTAGACTAGGAAAGATCTGCGGTAAAATACTTTGAGGCATGGAATTTATGGGGAAAATACGCAGTTGCAGAAATCAATCGGGGTCCCAGACCAGAAAAGGATCAACTGCTGGTTCAGAATACTGGATGATGCGAGAGAGCATACGAACAAACTGTCGGAGATTAAGGTTATGCTATGGGCATAGGAGTAGATACAGAAGGTACTTATGCTATGGCGGCGTCTGCAGGCTCTAGAGGGAAATATCTCAATCGACCAGCACTAAGCTCCTGCAACTCTATCTTTATTGCCTATGATACCATAGAGACTGAGCCTCTCATACCAAAACAGCGCAATTTTATATTTTCCCAGGAAGTATAGAATTCAAACCGACTGGAATGCTGAGCGTGCCCATCCCAGAGACATGCGTTCTTGCCGGAACTTTGAACATGTCTAGCAGGATACGCGCGCTTAGATTGGTGCTGAGACAGAGACGCAGACAGCCATGTTTGCAAATCATAAAGTGAGATTCTGATGCGTCACTTATCGTGTACATTTGAGTTGTGTCGGCCAAGGTAGTTGTGCCCATAGAATAAATTGTACAGTTGTCAGGTCCCAGAAGCTTGACGAAGGCTCAACGAATAAAATCGACGGCGCAGGCTCATGCCAATAGATGGAGAGGTGTGGTTTGCTTCGGCGCAACTTGAGGTCGTGACCATCTCGCACAATAGGCCCCTCTCTGATTCAGGCCTTGCCTTTTTTTTTGCATCACATTTTACTTGCGTATGTAGCTATCTAGCTATGACATAATTTCAGAGAAATTATACAGGATCGATGAGTTATCTTAAAATTAGAGCACTCATGTCTCTGATCTCATTTGCAAGTGCCGCTGTGAAGTTAGGGTGGCTTCTCCTTCACCCCATGCCAGGCCTCATCCTTGATACCCACCCAGGAAAATGTCTCAAAAACATAGAGTTACCCACACATGCCTCCGTCCATCCACTCTTCTCCGCGCGAGATATGGTCTGAGGCGTCTCCTTTCCAAGTGAAGATAGCCGAGAGGTTATGTCGGATGATATTTTTATCGTAACCGAGTCTTGCGCCAGGGCCGAGAAGGCATGGCACGGGTAGTACAGATCTATGTAAGACTCTTCGCTGCCTACATGATTACTTAATGGCAAGCAGAAACACAAAACTAGAGACAAGTAAAACTATCATCTCCAAATTGATCGTGTCCTGCACTATACCTCCATCCTCGCGCCACGCTGGAGGAGCCCAAGAGGCATTACAATGGACCTTTGAAGCGCCGGTTCGCGATTCATTTTTGTTGCTACATTTTGCCAGAGAAGAAGTTAGAATGAGTCGAGGCTGATCTAAATTTGACATGACACGCATGGTTCGTCACAAAAGACTAAATGCCAGCAACGCGGCCAATTCAACGCGAGGCCGGGAAAAGATGGACAATATCGAGGTCCGGCGCCGCGCGCCAACATGCCGCCATTACCACCAAGAGATCTATTCCTCGTCAATACCCTCGAGTCGTTTTCTCATCCATCAAGGCAAATGTCGTGCCTGCCGGGTTGATAGTGCAGCTAACACTTCGCCAAATCCCCGTCGTCGCGCCCACAGACATCCCGAAATCGCAAGACCCTTGAGAAGGCCGAGTGCGAGCACTCCCACTCATGGCCTCTTCCATCTCTCGTTGCATATCCCAGCTGCCCGGCCCTCCTGTAGTCGTAGAATTTCTGACAAGGAGCCGCCTGCCTTGGCCAAGGCCCGAGCTCTGCATGTCATAGAATCTTCCGCATGGGTAGACGCAGCATCGTCATGTTGTAGCGGCAGGCGGTCGATGATTGATGAGGCGAGCTCTCGTCTACAGCTGGATAAGTTTCTTGATCAGTTGTTGGGACGAGGTGGTATGTGGCAAGATTGAAGGCCTCGTGAGGGATTGGTAGAAGCGACATTGAGAAATCGTCGAGTGTACGAACGCCATTTTTTGCTTTCGACTACCACCTGAATACCTATCTCCTTTCCCATCATCGACATGTAGAGCATACCGAGCCCTCACACTAGGGCTCGCAGGCGAAGAAATCGCATCTGTCGACTTCATTGTCTCGAGTTCAGAAGGGGCTTCAATTTATATCTAATCTCAACCCATATCCACATCATTACTAATCATTGCAACTTACTAGGATTCGCACTAATTAAGAGATCTCTGAATCTGGTATCTTTGTGAAGGACACGGCGCTTTGTGCAATCGTAAGACTTTATTTCACTGGTATTCGGGCCACACACAAATTACTTTGAGCAAAGCCGCCATTGAAGATGACCCAGTTCCCAAATATACAGAATGATTGGATTCTTTCTAGATTGAAAGCTACTGGTCTACAGCCTCATTTTCAACTAAAATACCAATGCTACTCGAGCATCGAGCAGTCAGATAACCATATTAACTCAAGGCCATTGCAGAACTGAGTTCATGCTACAGCACTACGAAAAGGGAAACGTAGAAAGGGACGACCAATAACATACTGGTTTATCGGACGTGAGTTCGCATGTAGAGTAGGTATGCATATGTATCTTGTCCTATGAAGTCTATGACTATTTAAGGACATGTAGGTCCTTTCTGCCCCTAGGCCGGGAATATCTGGGCCTCGAGTAGTGTACTCCCTCTTATGCCTCCTATGCGGCTTCTTTTCATCCATGTTACCCTCACAGGTTTTCATTCGAGTACACACATAGAGGAGCCGTTATCACGTCATTATATCCCCTCTCCAGCCAACGAAATAATGGACATTTGCGGGTGTGTAGCTGCAGGGAAAAGTCTCAAAAATCACTTGGTGCGGGGCTCTCCTATTTCGAAGAGGCAGGGCGTAGCAGACCTTTGTACACCTGAGGGCGTTTCTCAATCTTGCTTGCCTCCTCCCCTGATTCATGCCGCATGAGAAGCCACCGGTCGTAAAAGGATGTCAGAAAAGTCTCGGTCAAGAGTGACTGTCGTGGAGGAGCTTAGCCTAGCATCCAAAAGTCGTTATAGACGTAGGGTTATCCAGTAGCTTGTGTATTTCAGATGGCCCCCTAGCTAGTAGATTTAGAGTAAAAGGTTAGAACAGACGATACTATTGGCGAGCTAATATCTGCTTTTCTTAAAGGCGGAAGGGTCTTTTACTTTGCTCTCGTGGACTTTTTAATTGCCTGCCGATGGGTAGCATATGTTGTGATATAGCGAGAACCTTTCTGACTTCCTTTTTGGTATTCTGTACTACTATATCTTTCATCATTCCCAGTATCATTATTGTCGTCTTGATCATTTAATGTGTTGTCGGAATCGTATCTATTAGAGAAGGGGGGGTTGACTAAGCTCAAGGTTGGAAAATGGAACTCAATCTCGGCTCTGTAGATTCTGTGGTGAGAGCTGGAGGTTCGTAGGAAACACCACTGGCAGGCTTTGGGTTTCGTCCTCCTGTATGGAGGGGTGAAGCTGCTGGTTTGGCGCACAAAGATTCCAAGATGCTGACATACTGACAGACGTCACAGAGTGGATGGCAGGGGATAAATTACTAGCGCTAGTCTCAAATAAGAATAATACGAGTTGATCCGTGACTAGCTGCGTGAACAAAGCTTAGAACAAAAGGACTTGAATCCCAAGACAAGACGATAATGCATGTAGTTTAGAGACACATTGTAGGGTGTTGACTTGAAGACGCATGGCATCCTACGCTAAATATTTGTCTAATAGCGACTCGAACAGTATAACTAACTAAACCAAGTTTATCCGATGACCTCAACACGGCGATTTTCAAGAAGGGGCAACGCGCCAGTGCCTGTGATCAGTCATTAGCGCTATGGTACGTAAATGTCAGCGACAAACTCACGGAAATATCCAAGAGGAATAATCAGTCGGGTCGTGCGGCCAGTCTGTGCCCACGTGGGGCTTGAGCAAATTCCAAAAGACCTCATATCCTCTACCCGTCAAATGCAAGCCGTCTATTAGATGCTGTCGCAAACCCTCGCTATAGCCTAGCTTCAGGGTGCCAAGTTGGAGGTCATCGTCCTCACTGTTTTCCACCGACTTGGCTGCCGTTATTAAAGCGGTCCACAGATCGATGAGACAAACGTTCTGGGCTTGAAAATCGTGGGCCACTTCCCGGACTGCTGCTGCATACTGAGCCGTCAAGTCCATGTGTCTACTGAGCTTTAAGCCTTTTGGCCTCTCGTCAGCGGCAAGGTGAACTTCGTGTACCGGCGGCGGCGTGACGAGCAGGATTTTCGGGTGATGCTGTGTGATGGAGGCATGGGTAATAATGCGCCGGATGTTCTGCTTGAAGCTATCGACGGGAATATGCTGTTGGCTCGCGTCGTCCGGGAGACAGGCATCGTTGGCTCCTAACAAAACTAGCTGAGGTCGTGGTTAGTGTCTAGTTGCGCAGCGGGCTAGCAATCGACTTGCCACATAGTCTACGCGCGCTTCGTCTGGGCTGGGCATGAGTTCGTGCAAAATATGTAGCTCGATGGCCGTGTTGTAACCACACTAAGTGTCCCGTGAGCGCCGGCGTTGAGGATTTGCACGAGAGCAGAGTGTGGAGAAAATCCTACCAAACCTCGATTAACGACCTCGAGTCTTCGAGCACAATCTAGCGGCAGTCATGATCTATTTCTCGAGAGACGGTGCAAAATAGAAAGCAGTAACATACGTTTGGCTAGAGCCGCACCGAAGCAAAATCCATCTTGGAGATAGCTCGAGTATTCCACCAGAGAGTCCCCCAAGAGAATAAACTGTGGGTACTTTGCCGGCATGCTTTGATCTCGAGAATATGGCTAGTGCTTTCAGAGCAGTGGTGCGAAGTGATGGAATGCGGTGGCTCGAGTTGGTTTTGCTTTCTGGAAGGAGTCTCACGGATTGGTAGGAAGCATGAGGCAGAGGGGTTCTTATCAGCGCAGACAATTATATGTGGAGGCTATATTAATCATTCAGCTATTTTTAGCTCGTACGTAGGGTGATGATTGAGATATAATTGGGAAACAGCATCTACACAACGAGGAGTATGGGCTAACATCTTCACCAGCTGGCTCTATAGGGCTAGGGTTCGAGGAGATTCATTGTCCTTCCTGACTTGGACACTCGCCCATCCCTTCTCTTGGGCCTAGTTGGGTCTGCAGATTTTTTGAGACTTTTTCTGCGCACGCAGTTTCCATTACTACCCTTTTTTTTTTTTTTTTTTTTTCTGGGTAGAAGGTTCCGTGGAAAAGGTGGCCGAATTCCACGGGTAAACACTGAGCTGAATGGCTATTCATTATGGGCAATATATCAATGATCTTTCAAGTAACAAAAGAGGATAGGAGCACTGTACAAGGTGTGGACTGGGTCAGAGAGGAGCCCAATGTGCTAGATAGTCTCTGACTCAAGCAGTACAATAAACATTCACACTCACCTGCACCAGATTATACAAATGCCCAGTTTGCTCTACAGACACGCGCATTGTGTGTCTCACGAACTCATGCATTGCCTACCGACAATATTTGATCCTCAAGTCATGCTATGAGCACAACTCACCTTCGACACATAAATTAGTATGAGCTTTTTTTTCGATATTAATTGCGTATGCAGCTATCTAGCTATGACACAATATCAAAGAAAAGTACAGAAAAAATGATTCAATTTACAAGAGGAGCACTCATGCCTCGGATTTCATTTGCAAGCACCACTGCGAGGTTATGCCGGCTTTTTCTTCACCCCAAGTCAAGGCTCATCCGTGAATACCCACCCAGGGAAACGTCTTAAAGACCCTGCATTATCTAGACATGCCTACATCATCTTTTGACTTATCTCCGCGCGGAGTACAGTCTGAGGCGTCCCGTTCCCAGGTTGAGTAGGTGCCCAGGCTACTCAAACCATACCAGAGAACACCGCCAGGAGGAGGACCACGGCATCTTCCATCGTAGGCTTTTTCTTACAGTGTCAGCTGCACTCATTTGTATGAGCTTGCACAGATGTTGCTAGGCAGTGTACTTACTGAGTTTGGTCCATGAAGCCCTTGCCTCCTTGCGTAGACTGATACCTGAGCAAGGAATGAAACAACTTCCACTGGTTTGAAGCTCGAAATACTGCGGTCGACATGGTATGAAAAGCTACTTCCAGCAATAACAGTGATTGTGGGGTTAGATGTGTTGAAAATATTAAATAACAGTAGCCAGCAAGTGCATCTCAGATGGATATCAATTATGGCATATTAGTAATCATGTATGAAATAGCTTGTGCCTGAGGCCTATAGAGGCTGTGCGTGTAAAGATACGTAGACCTCCAACTTGGTAGGTGTAGATTTGTTACCACAAATGATGTCGGATTATTCACCACACGTACTGTCAATTACTAGCCGGCTCCAACTGACCAAGAAACATACTCAGGAATTCCTACAGTCTAAAGCTAAAGCTTCTTCCCGATATATATCATCTAATATAGCTTGTCTAATTGGATGAGTGATTTCACATTATAACACCATTCCGTCTTCGAGTTTAGCCTGTCGCAGGTCAACGCCCCCAGAAATGTGAATGGGGCGCTAAGGAAGTATCAAGGGGGGATGTAACAGATGGGGAGTATGGTACATGAGAATAGATGAGCCGGGGAAAAGGGTGATTCTCAGGTGGCCAATGGAGAGAGTTAAGACTAGTCTACACAGAGCATATAAGGGATGGGAGAGTACGAGGAAGAATGTCTTCCCAAGGAAGAAGTTATTAATTCCTATCGAGTTATTGTCTTTCAAGTACACCTGAATTCATTCAACCCTTACACAGTACCAGGAGAAAAACGAAAACACAGCGATTACTCCCAACTCCGAACACTATTCCTAGACCATACCCTTTTACTCGTCAGCGCTGTCACTCATCATTTCCAGGTTAACACATGATTGATCCAGTCATGAGGTAGTGGAATAAGTTTCCCATTAATTTATTTGTGATTAGCGCATGCAAAAGACTGGTGCTCCAGCACGCATAGACCAGCAACTGAAGACTGTTAGGATCCAGGAAGAACTGGGTGTGTGGGTGTGAAAGACATGGGACGAACTTTGGCACGAGCCGGCAATGGAAGATTGAGCAATGTGGAAACAGGCCTTGCAAGCATGTTGCCCGGAGGGCAAGACTGAACACCTGTACGCGGTGTCCTCTACGAACCTGGGAGTGAAATATTCCCCCAGAGCCAAGTTCAGTCAAATTTCGCAATATCAAAGAAGTTGGCCCACGAGGCAAAATTTCAAATTACTCCACCTCGTCAATCTTTCATTCCCAAAGAGTCCGATTCTCGACTAAGCTTCATCAAGTCTACAAGTACGACATAGTACATCCTCACCCCAATAATCACACCTCTAGTCGACTTTCTCTGGCCTTAGTTGACCGCCAAATACACGCCCACGCCGATATTTATACCCGACGGAGGAAGCAAAGTGTGGCGCAAAAATCTGGGAGATAGTTCTTTGGGATGGACGTGAGAGGGATCAGGACAAGTTTACAAGATGATGCAAAAGAGGGATACATTCTCGACGGGCGTGAAATTTTGAATTTTGGCAAGAGTTTTACGAATCGAGCTTTGTGCGCGCCAAGACTTCGCTTGCGAAGGTGCAGCTGACACTATAAACACAAGCAAACGATGGAAGGTGTTGTGGTCCGCCTCCTGGCGGTGTTCTCCGGTATAGTCTGAGTAGCCTGGGCACCTACTCCACTTGGGAAGGAGACGCCTCAGACTGTACTCCGCGCGGAGATAAGTCAAAAGATGATGTAAGCATGTCTAGATAATGCAGGGTCTTTAAGACGTTTCCCTGGGTGGGTATTCACGGATGAGCCTTGACTTGGGGTGAAGAAAAAGCCGGCACAACCTCGCAGTGGTGCTTGCAAATGAAATCCGAGGCATGAGTGCTCCTCTTGTAAATTGAATCATTTTTTCTGTACTTTTCTTTGATATTGTGTCATAGCTAGATAGCTGCATACGCAATTAAAATCTGATTCAAAAAATAAAAAAAGCATGTTGCCCCAAATTGAAGGTTCTTACTTTATCGGGAATCTATATTAGTAATATATATCTATTTACCCCTAATGCACCACGGCCGGATGGTGTAGTTGGTTATCACGTGTCCTTAACACGGACAAGGTCCTGAGTTCGATCCTCAGTTTGGTCACGGGCAGTTCCTGTCGGGTGAACACTTTTGCTTCAGACCCCAAATTAACTAGCGGGTTTGGACCGCCCAAACATGGGGACTAACAGATCAAAGGCCATCACAAATACCGCCAAAAAAACTACACGCCCCGGTCCTTGACTCCTAGGAGATATAGAGCATAGCTTAGGACCTAAAATTTAAAAAAAAAACTCTACGCCACACGTATTTGCGAGTGCAGCCCGAAGGCGGTCGAGAAGTATAGGACATGCGAGCCTAGTTGTGTGTTTTTCAACGTCATGCTAGGTCACAATACAGGCGTAGGGCCTCGTGTCAGCCAGTTCCGTCTACATAAACTAGTCGACATGTAATAAATGGGCCAAGGCCAGCCTGTCATGCACCTGAACCATCAAAAGAAGTCAAAAGCGGTCTCTCGCCGAGACCTTTATATCCAATACAGCAAATAAGATAATCATCTATATTAACAGGAAAATTATCCGTCACCGTATCAAATATGATCTGTGGCGAAGGCCAGTCGAGGATTGCAGGGTAGAGTACTAGCTAGTATCGTTGTGGCATCTCTGCGAGAAAGCAGGTATCACGGAGCCATTTACTACAAGCTATGGTTCCTTGAGGGTGGCCTAGACTCCAGGCATTTCCCGGCCTTGAATGTTTAGGTTCGCTGCGAGGGCGACCAAGAGCGTGGCGACTGAGGCTCCGGGGTTCGGGAGAGCTCCCAATATTGGCAGTAATGCCCAGCTGTTGCTATAGTCTGGGACCAGTATGGGGCTGCAGAGGCTTTGTAGGGTGAGATAATGTCTCACTTGCTCGGGAGATTGTTGGAGATGGAAGCTGCGCGTGCTGGTTTAGCAAGTGCGTCAGCGCTCTCATGGCCAGGCCCGCCGACACGTCCTGGACACTATCGCACTCTGACTGCTCCTGCATGGGAAAAGTTGCTGCCGTCACCCTCGGTCGACTCGAAAGGTGGGCGGAATGGACGAGATGCCGCGTGACAGTATTGGTCGAGTGGTCCTGTAGACACGGCTGGACAAGTGAGTTTAGGGCTTTGATTTTGCCTCTTCTCCCTCCGCATCTCACCACACTTCTCCCAGCCTCCTATCCGGCATCCTCTGATGCATGGCTACTGTTCACCTTGGTATTCGAGGTCGGGAAAGCATGAGATTGCGGAGGAGAGTATCCATGGCGAGGACAACGAGCAACGGAGCGATGCGCCGTCGCGTAACTAAAGACCACAATAACAGCCGGGCACGTCGGCGCTTGACGGATCCGAATGGGGCACGATAATACACCGTATGAGAATAGGGATCTCTGGTCACTACGAACAGCTACTTGCGATACTTGTCCACTCGCTGAATCTGCTGACTGACGACTTCCGCCGGCCCTAATGATCCTTCAACTATTGTCCAGAGTCACCATGCCACAACCCTGCTCCGACCGTGTGGCCCAACTATTTTTTTTCATCAGATTTTAACTACGTATGTAGCTATCTAGCTATGGCACAATATCAAAGAAATGTACAGAATTATTAAGGAAATAATGACCCCTCAGTCATTGAGGTTGTAGAGCACATTGATTCAAGTAACTACCGAAGTGAAACGGGGGACTATTCTCAACACCTGTCAGTGGTGTCCCCTACGAACCTCCAGCTCTCACTGTAGAGTCTGCAGAGCCGAGATTGAGTAACAAAGTCCTCACTTCGAAGAGGATTCCCAATCGCTTTCGCGGTCTGTATCGTCTTCATCTCTCAACACATTCCCCTATCACCACTATCATGAAGCTAACCACGATCAGATCAGATGGTAGGGTCGGAGCTCTACTCGTCACCCACCCTTGATCATGGAGGAAAAGCCATCCTATGAGTTTCCGAAGCGTACCCAGCACCCGATACGGAGATGGCGGATTGGATCAAGTCGGCCTCGATTGTTACAAAGAAGGGAGATATAGATGAATATGCGCACCTCATGTGGTCCCGGTGTCTAGGCCTCGCCTGGCTGGGACTGCAGGTTTTTTGAGACTTTTTCCCGCGCACGCAGTTTCCATTGCTACCATTTTTATTTTTATTTTTTTGGGTAGAAGGTTCCGTGGAAAAGGTGGCTGAATTCCACGGGTAAACACTGAGCTGAATGGCTATTCATCAAGGGGAATATATCAATGATCTTTCAAGTAACAAAAGAGGATAGGAGCACTGTACAAGGTGTGGCCTGGGTCAGAGAGGAGCCCAATGTGCTAGATAGTCATAGACTCAAGTAGTATAATAAAATCACACACACATCTACCGAAGTGAAACTAAGTACAGAATTTGTAGTCACGTGTGTACCAACAACGTGGCCTACTTGATAGCCCCAATTATTCTAAATTCTAACAAGAATAGATGATTCAACGTAAAGGAAGAGCACTCATGCCTCAGATTCCAACCCATTCAGTCTGGTGACAAACACGCTCGCGACGCTTCGCCTTCCCCGTAAGCTTCGAAATGGATTCATGATGGGCATGATATGGTGTTGACGCAGCTCTGCAGAGTATCTTGTTGGATGGGCTGGGGGAGAGTAACGGTTAATCATGCAAGCAATCGTGACGGGAAAAGGAGGATTGGGGTCTCACGCTGGGAAGAGTTGTGTCTGTGAATACTCCGGGGCTTCATCCTGGTATCATCTGCGATCCATGTATCAAGAGCTGAACGCCTTTTTTGCTTGCTCATTTTGCCGGTGGAAATACCGTCCGTCTAGTTTTGAACTCTTCACCTCAAGGGCGCATTAGTATCATTAGCACAGCTGCTGCCCGTTCATTTTGTCCCGTGGAATATCAGTCATCCGCCGCGCTCTTCTCTGTACCTTGACCACCCACATCATCTCTAGTCTCTGCAATGCACCTTGTGCCGCGCTATCCAACCTCATTGTTGCGCGGCGCGTAGTGGCTGATGCATATTCACACTGTTGCCGTAGTTACCACGATGCGTCGCCGGCCCACCCGTACTCAAGCTCCACAGACAGCACGGAGCTTTCTCATTGCCCGGCGTATTGGTCTGAATACATGCAGAGAGGGGGGAGACCTGGCTAACAGTTTACCCAGCTACAGGCTATTCTTGTTTGAAAATGACCTAGCTCCTGACTGTCATTGAGCGCGAGAGTTTACGCTTTTATCTAGATTTCTGCCTTTACGCCTGAAGACTAGCTGGCGTCAAATTCATTTTTGCTGGCTATACTACGGCTCCCAACAAGATGCGGCCGGTGTACTTAAGGCACTCGGAGCAATCGCAGTGTCAGAGCAGCTTGATGTGGTGTAGCGAATACACGCGTCCATCTGTCCATGCTTGGGAAAACTCGGGAAAAGGGCAAATGTGCAGCACTTTTCGCTGCCTTGCCCGAAATGCGTTGAGCCAAGAATAACTCCCATCCAATCTCGAAGCAGAAGGGCGAGGGAGCTTCACTTGAATATATGGAGGTATCGAGGTGTGTGCTGGCTAGTGCTTTTTTTTAATTCATTTTATTGTCCTGTCTGAGTCTTTGACTATGTAGGACATGCAGGTCATCTCTGCCTACAGGCCAAGGATACCTATACCAGTAGTTTATCCCCTCCTATGCCTCCCATACAGCTCCCCTCAAACAGTACCACCCCTCAAAAGTCCTCATTCGATCATACACTTAGAGGAGCCCTTTGCCCTTCATGATCTCCCCTCTCCAGCCAACGAAACGATGGCCATTTGCGGGTGTATGGCAGCCGGGAAAATTCGCAAAAACCACTGGGTAGGGGGCTCTTCTAATACCGACATTAGGACTAGATCCGAAGACATATTGCCCCTTCTGAAGCGTTCGAAGAGGCCGGCCAGCTGGGCGCTGCAGACTTGTGGGTACCTCGGGAAATCCACCCTTTGCCTTTCTAGCCTCCTTCCCGAAGGTCGTGCTGAAATGTCAGAAAAGTCTTGACATAGCGTGATTGCTGTATAGTAGCTTAGCCAAACTTTTTTTGTGCCGTTCAGGGCGCTGGGGAGTGCCGTTGACTCATCGACAAAAGAAGCCCTCCTAGCTAATTAGCCGTAATCTTGGTCTTGGCGCCCACAAAAAATTCAAAGTTGAAAGCCCCTCGAAAATGTCAGTCCCAGCATGGTCTTCAGAGACCTCTTTCCCCTTTCGCTCCACATCTCAGGCGCTTGTTCTTCCTCAAGATGTATAGCCACATTAGAGCAGCAGTCCCCCATAAACCAAGACCCCAAATTTGTATATTATGACTTGATTTCCTCCTTGCGGGTATATGTAGCGTCTTAAATTTGTAGTGAGTGATGGCCGGTAATAAATGAGGCAAGCTCCTGTTTGCAATTGGGGTGATGCCTTTATCGGTCGTCTTGGCGAGATGATGTGTCGTTAGAAAGAGGTTGAGGACTCAGAAGATAATGGTGAGTGCTACATGATTGAGAAGTCGTCAAATGGAGATATGCATGTGTTTGCTTTCGACTTCGATTCGGATGCGATTCTTCTTGGCTATCCCAGATATGCAGAGCATTCTGAGCGATTACACCGGCACCACTGGAAGGTGAAGAATTCGTCTTTGCCGGCTCTGGCTAGTGCTTTTAGGGACTGAATCTTTGGAGTGTGCCGTAGCTGATTGCAGCCCACCTGGAGGTGTGAAGTGGGCGGACGAATTCATACTCGGATAAATATTATTGCGTGGTTGCTGAGTAATGCCGATTGATTTAGTCTGCCTTTTCACTGCGCCTCTCACCCACATCAATCGCCTCCCAGCAGCTCCAATCCTTGAACATGTCCAAGACAACCATGGCCGTGATTGCTGCCATGGGCGCAGCAACCGGTGCCGGTCTCACTGCCGCACTCTACTCCATACGTCCGGGCCGGAAGGAGCCTACGCCTTCAACCCTATTCGCCGGGCCAATCCCCTCCAAAACGACGACGACGACCCCCCATCCCGACCTCTACCCGCTCACTAGCAAGAACAGTCAATCACCGGTAGATCCGGCCGGTCTCTTTCAGTATGGCTTCCCCGGCCCGGTGGCGGACGTGGCGCATCGCCATGCTCTCGTCTCTGCCTACGATCGACGCACGCGAAATCCCTTCTGGGTCGCCGAACACTTGACTCCCGACTCTCTGACCATATCGACGGGCGATCGCAAGGCGAGTACCTTTCTCGAGGACAAAGATGTGCCGGAGAAGTTCCGCGGCAAGCTGAGTGACTACGCGCGCTCGGGCTACGACCGCGGTCACCAGGTGCCGGCGGCCGACGCCAAGTGGTCCCAGCCAGCCATGAACGATACCTTCTACCTCAGCAACATGTGCCCGCAGGTCGGCGAGGGCTTCAATCGCGATTATTGGGCCCACTTCGAGGACTTTTGCCGACGCCTGACCCAGCGCTACCCCTCGGTCCGCATCGTCACCGGCCCCTTGTATCTGCCCAAGAAGGACGCAGCCGACGGAAAGTGGCGGGTCAACTACGAAGTCATCGGTAACCCGCCCAACATCGCCGTCCCCACCCACTTTTACAAAGTCATCTTTGCCGAGGACGGTACGGCGGCGGGCCCCGTTGCTCTTGGCGCCTTTGTGCTGCCCAATGCTCGCATTCCCAACACGAAACCCATCGCCGAGTTCGAGGTTCCGCTGGAAATGGTCGAGCGGGCTAGCGGGCTCGAATTTGCCCACAAGCTGCCGCTCCAGCGCCGTAAGAGATTGTGTGCCGAGCACACGTGCAGCCTGGTCATCAAGGAATACGTGGCCAAGACAAAGCCATTCGCCAAGGAATCCGGAAAGTCGGAGGTGTAGATTGGCACGGTGGAGGCTAGCATCCAGCTCGCCGGCTTGTACCTCGACGCAGCCGGGTATCATGAGCCTGGAAATAGGCTCCCCAAACGACTGGCTAGACACTGCGGAGAGCACGTTCTCAACTCGGATTTGGCTTGGCTCGGAGTCTAGTTTGTGGGGCTAGCGCTGCTGAGAGCCTGGGAGCTCTAGCCACGTGCGCTACAGATCTCTTCTATTGCCCGCACTGGTGGGCTAATTCGTCTCTAACTACTATGGCAGCTAGCCAGCGAGGGGAAGGTTTATCGGTCATGGCCAATGTAGCGGATAGGGAATTACGTTTTGGCTCGAGGGTGGATGAGGCCTTCTCGCGGGATCACGGCATATCTCTTGTATTAATTTGACTAGTTCTAATTACCACTTCTCTCCCCGTCCGTGCCGTGCAATTCCCAAATAGGCATACTGCGCCAAGTACCATCTGCACCTACCCGGCTGACCATGTGACGCGAGGCGGGGCTCCGGGACGGGTAGAGCAGATTTCTGGGCACGGCTGCGAAGCCTGTCGGATCTCGTTGCGACGGGCTCTAGAGAAAAGCGAGGGTGCGCTCCAGACCGCAGGCTTTGCACGAGGTCGTGACCTCGTAGCCGTCACCGTGGGCGCGCGGACCACACGTTGCGCAGAGGGCCGGCACAACGACCTCGACGGGCCGCATGGGGAGGTGGGTGAGGAAGAGGTAGATGTCGGACTGGAAGTCGGGCAGCTCGGCCGTGAGCGCGAGGAAGCCGGGACGGCACTCGGGGCCGAGGAGACGAGCCATCTCGGTGACGGCGGCCTCGACCACGGCCTCGCGTAGGCCGGGCATGGTGGGCGCGGCGGCGGCGTAGATGCGGCGCACGGCGGCAAAGTAGAGGTCGATGTCGGCAACGTGGTTATTGAGCGTGTCGCGGAACTTGGCCTCGGCGAGCTTGACGAGCGCCGGCATGACGAGGCGCGACGCGACGCTGAAGACGCTGATGTGTGCCGTCAGCGTCGCCCCGCTCTCCTGCTCCGTCGCCGGACACAGATAGTTCCCCGAGTAGAGGTATTCCATGACGTGCGGCACCGCGAGCGCCTCGTAGTCATCGAGCCGCAGTGTCGCCGCCCGGCCCGGCTCCTGCCGCCCAGTTAGTGCAGCGCGCAAAAGGGGGCGCGCAGCGACTGACTGTCTCGCTGGCTTCGTTGATCAGTTCATCCAGCACCGGTGACTGCGCCGCGAGCACAATCTTGTGCGCGCGCCACTCCTGCTTCTCGTGCGTCACGGTCAGATCCGAGTAGCGGCCCGTCAACAGCGATCTATCCAGCATTAATGTCCCTCTCATCCTCGCCGCCCGCCCGAGGGCGCTGGAAGGGGGCCGGCGCTTACGAGTGTAGGGCTCCCATTGGAGTAGGCGTGGCCTTTGCGTCTGCGACCTTGCCGGCAGTGCTCGGTCTCAAGGGCAGCGATGAGTGAGTCGGAACTGCTGCAATAGCCAGCAAGTCAGGCGGCGAGTGATGGGGTCCAGTCTGCATGAGATGTCGGGGCGTTGGCAGTGGTTTCGTAGAGAAGTTGGATCGAGACGCGCGTCTGCCATGCGCGTCGTCACCTAGACATTCACGCGTCACGCCGTGCTGCCAGTCTTGTCCGCTCTACTGAACCCCACCCATCACTACCCACATTTTCACACTCCGTCAGAAACAGGAGGACAATAACAGTCTTTACTGGCATCGCTACGGCACATTTTTTTGCCAATTCTTCAATCAAAGTTGGACTTGGCTCAAGACACTTAACCAAGCTTTGCTCGTTGCTTCTATCGAAAAATCAACTCGACGAGCCCTTGTCCCCTACAGCTACTAGCACAAGAGAGATAATTGTACTTTTGAACCTCTCCCAACCAAATCTAGGGGATTACATTAACTTGCTTGACACGGTAGATATGCTTGATATATCATCAAAATATTTGGGCATGAATATTCCCTTTGATGGTCATCACTTCCAGAAATAGTGTAATCTACGCCACGAGTCTGAACACATGTGAACCCACCAACTGTCGCTCGTTGACGAGCAGGTACGACGCTTGAAATTCCCCAATATGCACCTGCAGGCAGTATGCCCATAATGTTACTTTCGGCCCTTTTTCTTTTTCATCTTATTTGCATTTGGCTTCTCGCTCTTCGTAACAATAGCTGGATCAAGAGCATCCTGGTCTTTGACTACTCCACCTTGCGTAAACTCTGAAGCCTTCTTCTTCCCTTTCTTCCCTTTAGGACGATAGTAGCTACGATCTCTCATGGGAAGCCACCGTTCAGGATCCATTTTCTTACCTTCAATAAAATCTTTTGGCGTCCGTTTCTTGCTTAGTTTTCGCTTCTTCGCGGGCAAATTTACTTCTTCGATATTACGTTTCTTGTTAACTTGTACTGAGGTGGTGGGCAGGCTAGGTACCCCTGCCTTTTCTAATGCAGCCACATCAACCTCCGATATAAGTTCTGACACCGAAGTCAACTTTTCTAGGTCAGACGACTCTAAAGAAATATTTTTGGTTAGGCTTGAAGCCACGAATCCAGCGATGGCAAAGGTGTCGCTTGGATCTTGGGCTCGCAAGAAACAGAAAATTTCATGGGCCATCGTGAGATCATTTGGATCATGGGATTGAAGTAACGACGCACCAGCAGCACGGAGAAGTCCTAATGGCGGTCGATTTTTACGACGCCAGTGAGACGCGGCCTTTGACAGTTCGAGTTTGATTGATCTTTTACGGCCTGAAAGCTGATATAGGGTTACTATAAGAGCTACGAGACCTGGTGCATGTCTAACATCCTGATCCGCAGGATCAATAGATTCTTCAAGGTTCTTGAAAAATATCTCCAATGTAGAGGTTGCTTTCCCGATATTATTGGATTGAATATATAGCTGAACAGAGAGAAGTACAAGTCCGACGTCATTCGGCCGCTTATGCAGAAGGTTAGGTATGACCTTAAGAATGGGCTTTCCCGTACCATTCTCAGAACAAGCTGCAGCATGTAATACGGATAGCGCGTTTAAGTGAGGGGAGATTGTGGGGGACGACGTCTTAATCAATTGAGCAGTCGATCTAGCTACGCCAGGGTATTTGAAGGTTTGCAAATTGATGGCATACTTATTGCGCTGTATGATATTGGCCTGATGAGAGAAATACTTCTCAGCTTTGGGTAGATTAAGAACTGAATCAAAAGTCTTCTGGGCTATGTACGGGTTTTCGTAACCGAGGATCGCTAAGGCGTTATTTTGAGCAATAGCTCTAGTCGAGAGTTCTGGGACACTGCAGGAATCAGGCATTGATATCATTAAAGGAATTTATGAACATACTCTGAAATGTTGATTGATTTACATAAACTTTTCGCCTTATCTAGTTCTCCGAGCTTCACAAAGACGTAGGCCTGCTGTATCATTATTGGTAATAGTTCCGCCAATTTCTCATCGTCGCTCATCTCCTCAGAGATTTCACACAAGTCCTTGGCCTTCTCAAGGAGAACGCTACTAGTCTCATAGTCAGAGCGCGCGATAAATCTACAAGCCAAATTGTATGATATCTCGAATGTGTCGAGTTCTCCCGAAACAGGTAATTCCCGCCAATATTCCATATTCTCATCTCCGCTCTGCCACTCAAGCTGAGCGTCTGTAGCGAGAGTGTTGATCTTAATATCGTTATCCTCGCCTTCCACCAAAGATTTTTGAGAGCTTAGGTCACGGTAGTGCTGTGCCGCGGCAGCGAATTTTTCTGATCGATAAGCAACCTGAGCGGCAACATGCTTCAGGCCCCGACTGTATTTACTTTCTGCAAGTAGTTCTGCTTCGGAATGCCGGCCTGTTTTGTAGAGAGCATAAGCCTTTTCTAGTAAGCATCGAGATGCAACTTTCTCCCCACTCTCTTCAAGAGCTTGCAGGGCGTCTTCGAATCGATCAAGTTTGATAAGGGCAACGACTCTGGTATGAAGAGCATCGAGGTTTTGCGGCGAAGTTTCCAATACTGCATCGGCAGCATTTAGCGCTTCTTCATCGTCTTCTATGTTTATTTTCCGCAGTAATGCTGACAAGCTTGTCACTGGGTTTGCCATGATTTGGTGTGTGGGAGTAAATGGGCCGAAATGTAATCTGTGCATGCCATTTGTCATCAACGCCTTCTCTGTAACATTCCAGCCAGCCAATGAACGAGCTTGTGCACCGGGCGCCTCAGCCTTGTCTTAATGTGGCGTGCAAAAACTGTAAATTCCGTAAAGATTACACGATATCAATAATGATCACTATGCTGGCAAAGACGAATTCTTCAACTTCCAGTGCTGCTGATATAATCGCTTGGTATGCTTCTTGTATATGGGATAGCCAAGAAGAGATTTATCTGAATCAAAGTCAAAAGCAAACACGACCATATATATATTTAACGACTTCCCATAATATCGGTCTAATCATTCTTATGAGTCTTCAACTTACTCATATCACAAACTAACTCGCCTCATCTTTCGATAATGGCGTTACTCCAATTGCCATCGGGCATTTGCCTCATCAAAAATCGGCCATCTCCCAATATAGAGTTACGATACTATGTATACCCGCGAGAAGGAAACGAAGTCATAATCCGCAAATCTCGCGTCTTGGTCTACCTTGGGCCGTTGTTTTAAAGGAGCCTTCCAACTGGAGGGAGAACAGGCAACTGGGATGTGAGATGAGCGAGTGAAGAGGTCAAAAATTGGCATTCTGCGTTATAGTGGCTCGGTAGGGTTTGTATGTTTACTTCTGCATTTATCAGATTAGGTCCTAACTTAATGCTCCAAGTCTACATTATCGGTCTCTTGCAGCTCCTTCTCCGAAACACGTCTCTCGTATGCCTAGGGAATGAGACCAACTGGCCGTTCACAACTGCATGGAATCGCCATGGCTGGAGAGTTACTCTAGTATGATTTTGGCTCCAATCGAAGGAATCTAAGGTAGTCTCTCTGGCGCTACGCTCTTGCTTGACTTGCTTTCTCGGGGTAGTGTGGGGAATGGGGTGAGAGAGATTTACTGGTCTAGGACGGGGGCAGTGCTGGAGATGGATGCATTGTACGTTCTGGGGAAATTCATCTCTCTACTTCACGCTGTACTACTACAATTGGGCTCAGCACGACCTCATGCCCTTAGGAAATCTATTTATAGATTGTTTGGTGCTGTCAAGCAACTCAGGTCTAAAATCACTACTGCTACTACTACTAGTACCACCACTAAGTCACCTCAGAGGGCAATGACTGAACACCTGTACGCTGTGTCCTCTACGAACCTGGGAGTAAAATATTTTCCCAGCGCCAAGTTCAGTCAAAATTCGCGATTCCGAAGAAGTTGGCCCACGAGGAAATGATCCAAGACTCTCTAAAAAATCAATTTCTTACACCTAACGAGATCGATCCCCCCAAGACTTAATCAAATTTACAGGTCCAACTTAGTACATCTTCTTGTAAATGACCACACTTCTCTTCGACCTTCTCTGGCCTAAGTTGACCATAAAATACACGCCCATGCCGATATTCACACCCGACGAAGGAAACAAAGTGTGGCGCATAAATCTGGGAGACAGTTCTTTGGAATAGGCGTGAGAGGGATCAGGACAAGTTGATAAGATGATTCCAAGGAAGGATGTAACCTCGAAGGACGTGAAATACCAAATTTTGGCTCGGAGTTTTTCGGACTTAACTTGGTGCGTGCCAAGGCCTCGGTTGTGAGAATTCAGCTGATACTATAAACACAAGTCAACGATGGAAGGTGCCGTGGTCCGCCTCCCGGTGGTGTTCTTCGATCAAGTTTGAGTAGCTTGGGCACCTACTTCACTTGGGAAGGAGACACCTCAGATTATATTTCGCGCAAAGATAAGTCAATGAATGATGAAGGCATGTCTAGATAAATCTGTGTTTTGGAGACGTTCCCTTGGGTGAGTATCCATGGATGAGGGTTGATGTTGTAGAGGTAAGAGCTTACGGAGGTTTGTTGACAGAAAGTTTACTGTTAATTATCGATGAATCGATGTGAACTGCTGGTATCCTCTGATACTCATATCTACAAAGACTTAAGAGGTACAAAGTGCTACTTATATACACATCTGAGGTAGCTAGACTCTCGCCTTATTTTCCCAAAACAGTATCATAGAATATTCGAGTATCCTCCATCTGGCAGTATTAAGTAGAAACACTTTCGAAACAGTGCTCCATTACTCCTCTACTCATCCTGGAACCACCAGGAAAGTTCTTCACTCTTAGTGATCATTACCCTTTTGCATTGTGAGCCTAGCCATCACCAGCACAACATTTGACATGGGGTGAAGAGAAAGCCGCCATATCTTCGCAGTGTAACTTGCAAATGAAATCCGAGGCACGAGTGCTCTTCCCTTATATTGTGTCATAGATAGACAGCTGCATACACAAGTAAATTTTGATGCAAAAAAATAATTCAATATAAGGGTATTGTGCTCACAGACCACATTTTCTACCTCAGACATGTAATGTAGGGTCTCTGGCAATGCTAGTTTATCCTGGACCCGCACTATGATTGACGTTACATTAGGTTAGATTTTATTACAATCCTTTCTAAGTCTCTGACTGTAGATGACTTCAAGAGTGGATAGAATTTTATTTATGTCCCTACTGAGTTTATGATTATGAACGACAGCTAAAACTATCTAAATAGCTTTAAAGTTAATTGTAAGTTTGGATATTGTTGTGCTTAATTTTTGCCAATAGATAAGGGTCATGCCCTATTTTATTCCTGCTCTTAACCGCAGTAGAGGACCCCTAGATCCTACATGAAAGAAACTAATAATATTTAATAAAACCAACGAAGATAACTCTCGTTATTTTCTTGTATACAGTGAGGAACAAGTCCTATTTGACGTTACATGTATACCTCGATATTTATACTAATAATCTTTAACACAGGGCACAAATTTAAACCAGGGCTAAGTTGTTTTGCAGAGGGTTGCATTTTGTGGCAGATTCTACATGGTTTATGCTGAGTCTGAATTAGTGAAGCTTGGCTGTCAGAGAAGGTGATGATATCTCCAGAAATATGAAGTTTCTTGGCAGTTTGGATGGCCTTCAGGACACAATATGCTTCTTTGTCAGTAATGTCCATTCTGGTGCCAAGGTTGAAGGAGTAACATTTGATCTGCCTTGTTGTAGGAAGATAAATAATAAAGCCAACGCTGCTGCTTCCTCCTTGAGAAAGTGAAACATCTTTGTATATTAGACAGGCCTCAAGAGATAGACTGTTCAGTAGATTCAAATGCTCTGACAGAGCTACTCCCTTTGGCTGTTGAGAGATGATAGTTTTGATACTGGTATTCAGCCAAGTTGAAACCCAGCTTTGTCTGGACTGTTCCGTATCACCAAGTTTCCCAATTGTCTCAAAAGTTTGGCCGGTTGGATGTTTGAACCGACTGTAGAGCTGCCTTGCGGATCGGCTTCTCGGGAATCTTCGTGAATGCCTTCCTAAGAGATGCACCTTTCCTCCGTTGGCGTCGCTAAGAATTTCGTTGGCAATATCGTCGCATGAGCCGTGATGGCCCCAAGAGTTAAATTCACCTCCACCATCGTTGTCGCAGTTGGGTTAGTTCCTGATATCACCTGTCTATCTCTAATATTGTTAAAATAAAACCCCAGTTTTTAAGGTTATCCATGGTAACACCTGTAGAGCTCACGAGAGACTCTACAGCTGTGATAACGGCTGTTCAGCTGTCTGTTTGTAGTACTGCGAAAATTATTCCTGCCGCGAAATCCACCTTTGCAAGCCCCGGAACCGTCATGCCGAAGTGCAACGTGATAAACTCGGAGAATCAATTAAGATAGTGAGAATACGAAATTGTGAGATAACTTTCGTTAAACATTGTGACGATTTTGACCATTTGAGGATGTTTTTAACTCGTGTAATTGATATTCCATCCAAGACTCCTTGCCATAGAACCAACATCTAGCAAATTACCAGAGACTTTTGAATGGAAATCTATTCCATCATCACCTCGCTTATCGTCTTGTCATATTAGTTATCCTGACTAATCATATTTGATATCCAGTGAGAGCAGGAGATGGACACACAAGAGGTAATCCAAAACAGTGGGTTTCCTGCGCAAAGTGTTTAAGGTTTTCGAGGCACTTTGATCCGAGCAGCTTGTTAAGGAGGTCACCATGTTACAATGACCCACTTGGTCAATACGTGATATATGTATTGAGTATAGTATGTTGCAAGAGCCTCGGAGACGTTTTCTCCCAACACGTCCACTTCACCAGACCGCCAGGATTGTGAGTGCGGCAATGGTAGGCCGCAAAGTTGCCATGGCCCATGCTGGCTGCACTGAGATTTCAGAAAATATGCATGGAGAAACCCAGCCCCGGTGATTTAGGGTGGCGCATGAGTTGACCCGGCTCACGGTACGTAAAGTATGCTTGACGATGCAAAACTTCCTGTACCGGAAGCGACTTTAAGATACCCTAACAAGGGTGGCGATCTCAACATGGGTGACAGGCATGAAGCAGCCTCTTACGTCACGCATCAGATAAATACTTGACCAGTAGGCCAAAACCACATGTTGTCGTATTTCGGAAGATGCTCAGACATAGACGCAATACAATAGGCAGGCATCACAGTCAGCCTCATCTGTGGCTACTTACCAGAGGGAAGTTATAGGTCTGTTGCTCATCCAAGCACAGCAGTACCCTGAGTAGGGTGGTGGAAACTTGTGAGATTCGTACCGGCCATCTCCCGTCTCAAGCGGGGTAAGCGTCTAAGCTGTCTCGGATTTACATGGGGGACTAATCCGGATGATATACCTCTGCACCACCCAGCCATGACTTTTATTATTGCTGTCTGCGCTCTCTCCAACCGAGTTGTGGCTCTTCAACATCAAGGTTTTGTCCCCAAAATTCTCGATATGACTTTTTCCATGACTATGTTTATCTCTTGAATCATGTCGTCTACCACTCCTAATATCTATCATATCCATCCTCAAGTTCTGCCTTGCTAGGCTTGTGTGTCACGATCCATCTCCTGCTATGGGTATTCACATTGGCATGGGCCTTTCTTTGGTGGCCAGCTGAGGCCTGAGAATGAGTCGATATAAAGTGTAGTCATAGGGTTTAGGATGCGCAAGACCGTAGTGTTAGATCGACAAAGCTATGGTTGGAATTGGTCTTTTTGGAAGCTAAACATTGATGTAGTAGAGAATCTTGAATCAATGCCTTGACTCCCAACTTCTTTTGTAATGCGGAAGTTGACTTAACTTGGCTCGGGGTAATATTTCACTTCCGGCTTCGTTTAGGACACCGCTGACAGGTATTCAGTCCTTATTGCCCATGCTCGTGACCTGTAAGGCTAAGAACTACTGGATACTGTGGTTACCATCGGACTGACAACTCTGATCATCAAGCTCCTCGCTCTCATCAGGTTCTCATCCTCGTGATGTAAACTTGCGGATACTTTGAAGTTTAAAATAAACACTAATTCTCTGCAATCGTGGTTGGCCCCTGCCTGCCATGAGGCTCAATGCAGGGGGAGCCATGTCTATCACAAAGGGTCTAGGCAGGAGCCGGGATGACAAGTGTCGGCCACCATATTCGTGACATATACGGAAGTTTTATGCTAGCGGGGAGAAGAGGAAGCTAGTGGTAATGACCGCCTGCGATCTAGCTAACTCGAGTGTCATGTGTAGGCAAATTGGACATGTGTATAGGTCGCTGTAGCTGTAGAGCACGAGACTTAGCTAGGAACTAGCTGAGAAAGCAACGTTTGTTTTCTGATGCAGCTATCACTTTTACTAACAATACCACCTCTATCCACTAAGACTCATCCACCATTATCAGCTGCGCTGAGCCATGCATCCGGCTAGTTTAAACCTAGAAGCTACTAAATCTGACTGCCGATGACGGGCTCTTGGCCTCGCCTCGTGGAAAGGGCGCTGATGCAGGTAGTGGAAGATTCTCTCATTATAATGTTGTGTTCGGGATGGTTGATGAATTACAATTAGTTAGGAACGCTGCACTAGCCGAGTCGGTCCCAAGCATAGCTGCTACGGATAGTTGGAGTACCCCTCACCCATTCCTAAATATCATGTCAATCGCAATTGTTAGCGGCAGCTCTCTATTGATCACCAAACTCGGACACACGCATTTCGACGAGGAATCGTAAGAACCGGCATAAACGATGATCCAAGGTATGCATGTGTATATATATGATATCCGCAGGTAACCCGGGCTACGTTTGTGTTTGTTGTTCGCCTTACTAGCAGTTCTCTAGCGCACAGTCCTAACAACGGATGATGAGAAATCCTACCATTCTGACCGTACCTACATCTACTGCCTCTTACAGTATAGATATTGCTAACCCTATCGGTCTCTAGCCGCTCCTCTCTCAAGCTCCGAACAGCGATTTTTGCCCACATACCACGTTGAATGGAGAAAATGGAAGGACTCCAATACTGGAGCGACCGCCACATCAGTCTCGAGTACCGTCCTATGTACCTGAATATGACTCTATTGCTACCAAGGATAATTCCAGTGGTCAGTCGATTGTGTTTTAGAGGCTCTTAAGTCTCGGGCTGACCTTGTCCGTAGCCACATTTAAGGCAGACCGTTATCGCCAATCCAAGGGCTCATGGATTTTGCGTTTAGTCGGCCTGATAGGGCCAATGACTTCGATGAAGAAATTTGTTGGCTCCAAGCATATGGATAAGCCATTCCCGTTCGATCAGCTCACATCCACCGACTGGGTACATGATAGCATTGTTGATGCTGGTAGGATAAAAGAGCTGAAAAGTGGGAAAGGCATAGAGAGCCATCTCCAAATCATCTTTGACAAGTCACAAGCTTGGATACTTTGTGCAGTTGTCGGGATTCTTACCGCATTCATCTCAGTCGGTGTAAACTTATTCGAAGCTCCCATGTTCGACTGGAAATTCGGCGTTTGTGCCAATGGATATCTTTTCAGCGAAAAGGTGGGCTTAATTAAATCTTAACCTTTCAAGCTAGACGCATGAGGTCATGGGTGGTGGATTTATTCATGTTGCTAGAGGATTACAGACCAGCCTCAACCCACATCATGTCAAAACACGCAGATAACCCACCTCAAACTTCAAACATCGCTGACTATTAACATAGAAATGTTGTCCGATACAAGCTCATTGTGACGACTGGAAATCTTGGTCAACCATTATCCATAGCTCATACCTCAGCGATGTAAGCGTTCAATTTATTGCTTACATGTGTATAACGGTTGTTTTCGCAACATTGGCTTGTCTATTGACACTTACCACAAAAACTATACTACCCAATACTCTCCCGACTTTGGCCTCAGATATAAATCTCACTTCGAACCCTCAACTGCGCTCAGTAAGTTACGTCGGTCCACTGGATCCAACACTAGATCAAACGGGTGCCCCGATAGAGGCAATGCCATACTATGCGGCAGCTGGGAGTGGAATTGTTGAAGTGCGTGTGAGACTAAGTGGCTTCATTTTCCACGGACTACTTGGATTCAAGACACTAGTTGTGAAGACATTAGCCCTCATATTGAGCGTTTCCTCCGGTCTCAGCCTTGGTAAGGAAGGACCATTTGTCCATATCGCTGCTTGCGTCGGGAATATTGTTTGTGGAACGTTTTCCAAGTACGATAATGATCGAAAGCGAAGAGAGTTTCTAGGGGCCATCGCCAGTGTTGGTGTTGCGGTGACCTTCGGTGCCCCGATGAGTGGAATACTTTTTGGACTTGAAGAAATTGCTCATTTCCTTCCGACCGAAACCCTATTTAGGACTTTTTTCTGCTGTATATCGTCCGCCTTGACTTTGAAATTTCTCGATCAATATGGAGCGCAGAGAATTGCCATGTTTGAAGTACGATACTACTATGGATGGGAGATTTTTGAGCTTTTTCCATTTATAGTTATCGGCATTTTGGGTGGAGCGACTGGAGCCATTTTCACCAAATCCTTTCGTGTATGGAATTCCTCAGTTAGACCATCTTTCTTGCGAAAACCTCTTCTGGAGGTTTTTCTAGTCGCTAGTGTTACAGGCTTGGTCAGCTTCTGGAACCCATTTACCAAGCTTCCAGTCAGTAAGCTACTTTACCACCTGGCTAGTCCCTGTGACAATACTCTGCCAGATGATTTGGGCATCTGTCCCCAAACCATAAATGGATTAAAGTCGATCATTCCCGTCTTGGCTATTGCATTTTTGGTCAAGGGACTACTTACAGTCATTACCTTTAGCATCGTTAGTAGTTCCATTTGATCTTGTTCCGATCGCAAAGAAAAACCTTTACTAATTTGATTGGTACAGAAAGTTCCTTTGGGTATTTACATCCCATCAATGGCCATTGGCAGCCTCGAGGGAAGAATAATTGGCCATGCGATGCAATTAGTTGTGTTGAGATTCCCAGATTCGCCCATCTTCAAAACTTGTGCTGCAAACGTGGGCGGTCTCACTTGTATCATACCAGGAGCATATGCTTTTGTTGCCGCTGGAACCACACTGTGTGGTGTGACGAGACTATCTGTGACACTAACTGTCATCTTACTTGAACTAAGTGGATCCCTTGAGCATGTACTACCAATCTCTTTCGCCATTATAGTTGCAAAATGGACGGCAGATGCAATAGAACCCCTGAGTATTTATGTCAGCTTTTCCCAAAACTTTTTATACAACAAGCTGATATATAACTAACAGGAATTGTTGACTGAAATAAACTCATATCCGCTTCTCAACCATAAACATAAGCCTGTCTTCGATTCAGAGTTGGAGGCTATTGTTCCCCCACATGGGCCTAACGAGATTATCGATATTTCAAGGTCCCCGCTTCTATCTGTAGAAAGTTTGCGTATGGTACTGGCGAACCTCAAACAAAATAAAGACTTTGTCTGTGATATACCTATTCTCCGTAACAAAGCGCTTGTAGGACTTATCCAGGTATCGGACTTAAGTAAGGTACTTGACAGGCTCAATGATGAGTCACAAGGCTTCTGTCTCATGACGAACATCCCGACTAATGAGCTCGAGATGGGCCTTGGCTTTAGCCCAGCTAACTTGGCTGCCTACGTTGACCCGGTTTTTACATCCACTTCGCAGCTTACATTTGATGACTAATGTCTCTAGGCACCGCTTACAGTCGATATACGCTCCCCCACAAACCTAGTGCACGAATGTTTTATGAAATTAGGCCCTAGATACATTTGTTTTTCACGGGAAGGTGATTTTGCGGGTATGGTGAGTAATCTTAACGTACCGTCAGACGTGTCACTAGATCTAATTGCGTTTAGATTCATCGTACCACATTCGTCACTCAAATACGAAAATTAGGGAAAAAAAAACAGCAGTAAATTAACTTGTCTATGGAATTGACTACTGAAAATAACTACTTCAGATGACGTCTGGAGTATTGGGATTTGATATCGATTTTTAGCGCATTTGGATGGGGGATTTTATAGAGTCCACTACAACGGCATGAATAATTCTAATAATAAAAGTTCGGCCATTAAGAAGGTATCCTGGCATTCTCTGAACTTAAAAGTCCAGCCATCACGCCGCCTTTATCGCGCTTTTTCGCATCTTCTTGCAACTGCTTGGCGATAATATCGGAGACTTCCTTAACTTTCATACTCGCTAGGTTGACACATTTTAAGAGAGATGCCGCATCAACGGGAGCTCCACCAAGCTTTACCAGCTGGCAGATCTCCCCGTGTTTATTCATGCCAATGGTCATGCTTCCTTCTCGCATGTGTTCTTCCAGCTCATTGGCATCCAGCAGTACTGTATCTTCACCTGATGCTCCTTCGCTATGATCTTTGTAGAATGAAAAGGTAATGCAAAGTGGCCAGTGTAAGAGACTTAAGGGCACGGGTTCTCGCTCAGCGAGGGTGTAAAGAGTCACTTCTCCGCCCACGGTATTGGTTTCAGGTCTCTTGAAGTGAGCGAGAGCGGCAATTACGGCGATGCTAGCAGCATCTATTAGGTTTCCCTCCACAGAGAGTACGTGGACGTCGACCCGGATTGACCAGCAGGTTTGCCCAGCTAGGAGACAGAGGGATTCGGGATCAAGAGCGCCCGAGCGACGAATTGTTTTTTCAAGTAAACGAGAGACGAGCATTTCAAGGGGTGAGTTCCGGCCTGGCTCCAGATGAGCGTGGGTCATTGGAGAGAGCTCCGTGACAATGGTAAAGAGACCTTCGTAGGGCCTGTCGGGATAGGGCTGTGTCACTTCAGCAGAGACATGGGCATGAATCCTGTTGGTAGGATACACGGTTAGTAATTAGGTCAATGGACAGGGAGTTGAGCAGCTAGTACCGAGTGCCTCCAAGACTGAGGTCGACTACCCCGTAGCGCTCAGCAAAAGCGAGAGTAATTGGGCGGAATTGATCAAAAGGTCGAGCATCTAGCCGTAGTTGCTGGCGCAGGGCCTGAGTGAAGAATTGTCGCTCGTTGAGAGAGGGTTCGGGTTCACGCGGCATAGTGATTGTGAGCCAGATGACAAGTCGGTATGGGCAACAACTTCACTTTCACCAGTCAAGTGTATACTTATAGAAAGAGTGCGATTGATTACTAATGTTATAATCACAAGCGAAAAAGTTTTACATATTAATAATCAACCGCACAATTCGTATTAGTGTACTATTGATGAGCGGAAGTGAAGTTGTTGGCCATGCCAACTTCTTACCCAGCTAGCTATTGTCAAGGAATGTTTGTGTTTGAGGATGGTGCAATCAGATTTTAGATAAGTGAATTATTATGAAGTAATCAATTTGGGACGATGTGAGTCTGTTGTCATGGCGCAGTGTGTGTGCTTATTGCCAAGTCCATCTAAGGTACAGGGTATTACTAATACAAGATTTTTCATAAAACAAATTACTGTGAAGTGTCAATATTTGTTTCGCTACTTGAGTCTATGATTAGCAGGGCAAATACTGAACACTCGTAGGCGGTGTCCTCTACTAACCTAGGAGAGGAGTATTTTCCCAGAGCCTATCTAGGTCAAGTTTCGCAATGCCGAACAAGTTAGTCCGTAAGGCAATGGTTTACTACTCAAAAACAAATCAATATCTCTTTCCAAACATGGTCAATTCCGGCCAAAGCCCTATTCAGTCTGCAAGTACGACCTAATGCATCCTTATCTCAATGACCACACCTCTCAAATCAGCCTCTGGCCTAAATTGACTTTGACGTACACGCCCACAAGAATGTGAATACCCCCCGGATGACACAAAGCGTGGCGCACAAATTTTTGAGGTATATCATTAGGATGGGAGTGAGAGAAGTAAGGACAAGTTTGCAAGATGATGCAGAGGATGGCTATAATCTCGTTGGGCGTTATATTTTGAATTTGGCAGGAGTTTTACAAATTGAGCTTTGTACGCGCCAAGACTTCAATTGCGAGAGTGCAGGCAGCGCTAGAAACATTGCTATGATTTGATGTTATTGTGGTATATCATCTTGGCCGGCCTCCCGCGTAAGGACTGTATCGCAAAGACATATATCCCACTCGAGACAGGAGACTAGTTCGAATGCGGCAAAAGACAATCAGATTTCTCACGTCGCTGGTATGCATGGATAACGAAGGCTGGTTGGATATTCAAGGTCTTGAAACGTTCCTTTGGTGGGTGCTCACGAAGGAGGGTCGACTGTTTTTGTACGCAAATATATCTCATAGTGGTACTTGCGAATGAGATCCAGAGTATGAGTGTCTCTAACGTCAAAAGAGGCATCCAACGTGTGAATATAGCACCGATCAAGTATTATAGCTAGATAGCTGGATACACAATAAATGATTGAACAAAAGTGTCTATGATTAGCACGTTGGGCTCATCTCTGGCCCAAGGAGCATCTTATACAGCGCTCCTTGACTCTCTTGTTACTTGAAAGATCTTTATTTTATTGTTCGTGCAGGAACGCTATTCAACTCATTAGTTACCCATGGAGTTCAGCTAACTTTCCACGAAACCTTCTACTCAAAAAAATTAAAATGTTAGCAATGGATACTCCGTGATCGGGAAAAGTCTCAAAAACTTTATTGCCCCATCCAGGCGAGGCCAAGATCCCAGGACCACATGAGATGCGCATATCCATCTACACCCCCATTCTTTGTAACAGTAGAAGCCAGCTTGATCCAATCCACCATCGCCATATTGAGTGCGGGATACGCTCGAGAAACTCATTGCATGGCTTGTCCTCCATGATCAAGAGCCAGTGACGAGAAGAACTTCGACCCTACTGTCTGATCTAATCGTGGTTAGCTTCACGATGATGGTGCCAGGGGACTGTGTTGGGAGATGAAGATGGCACAGACGGCGAAAGCTATTGGGAATTGTCATCCAAGTGAGGACTTTATTACTCAATCTAGCCTCTTCAGACTTTACAGCGGAAGCGGGAGGCTCGTAGGGGACACTACTGATAGGTGTGCGTTTCGAGCCCAAAAAAATACAGTTATTTGCATTAATTTCCAGTCAGTGCACTTACTGCAGCCGCTGCTATCACGCAACACTGCGATAGGTTTCCAAATGTAGAGGTTTATTTGTTGTAATAGTTTTGCTCTCCTCTCGATCCCTCAGTTTTGCAAGGATAGGTAGATTTATCTGCACACAGACCGAGAGTGCCTATTCCCTTCTGTGTCCTGTCCTCGGATGTGGGCATTTCATGTCTTGAGAAAATCTTCATGGAGCCAGCAAACCCTCATCTACAGCTTCGAGTGACTCTATAACTGTTGCTGGGTTCTGGACGATAGCCGTGTAGCATGAAATCTCTTCGAATACCTTAAGCATACTGGATATAATTCAAGGTGATATGGCCCTTCATCCCTTTTCGGCAATCGGCAGCTCGCGCAGGTCTGAACGCCAGCGGGCCCGGGCCGAGCCATGATGATAATTTTAACGTCCAAGTTAATAATCATATGCCCTAGGGTATGTGATATCTATCCCACTTGTGACAAAGGACGCTTGGGCTGAGGTCCTAAAGTGTAGGACTTAGCCAAGCTGAATCTAAGGACAGTAATTACAATGTTGTACTGCGCTCACTGAAAATGCAGATAGGAATGGGGATATACTTCGAAGCGGAACAATCTACGCTTCTTCCTCTACACCATGCCGGATGAATTTTCAATTTTCCTTGACTCTCGGTATCCCCATCGTACATGGACGGTGCAAGTATAAAGTATCTATTACGGGCTAGGCCCGGCTGCTTAAGGCTATAGGGCCTATCCTTATGTTGTAGGCGCAAGCGAGTTTGTAAATCTACCCACTATTCGGGAGTATTATCACACACGTATAAGGGGCTAGAGTATCTGGAACAGGCATTATACTTGAAAAGAGCCGTAGCTCCCCCTTACTAAATTCCTCATCGAAATTATAAACATCTAACTGTGGCATTGCTTTCGTGCATTGGCCGAAAGTCCTAGCCCATCAGAGTATCTCCCCCATCGAGGATAAGTATTTTCACAAACCTGAGTCCATGCCAGCCATTCAATTGAGATATTCGCTCCTTCTAGGGCACCTAGTAGCTTGATATTGGGCTGATTGATAGGCCCTGTAGGGCGGCGAATTCGACAAAATAGAAAATATTTTAGAGTCTTTGGTGATCCACAACGGCAGTCCAGTTCAGCTACATCATAGATAGGGTTTGTAGTAAGCCACAAAGTCTCCATGCCCAGTTCTAGCTGCGATTATCTGAACTAGAGATCTCCCACGAGAGAAAAGCTCTTTTGGAAGGTGTGGAGCGGCCGGGCTGAGCCGACTTGACTACCATGGCATATTTCAGGCTCTTTCACGTGACTTGCACATAGAATCATGCCATGTGAGGGACGCAAACATCGAGGCCAGACAACGGGAGGCTGATATTCATGTTAAATTAAATCTTCGAGCACAGGATAGTAAGATGCTGGTTTTTATTTGCTATGTTGGGTCTATGTAGGCGCCAACACGTCGGGTAGTTTATTGATTTGATTTGAAATATTTTACATGACAGGAAGAAACTAACATATATTTAGACGTGACACGGGTAGATGAGCTCTGAGAGCATATTGCTACCTACACAACCGGCATTAAAGCCAGAAGCGGCAAAAGAAAAAGAAAAGTAAATGTCTGAGTTAAGGTGCCCTGCGCCGCATCCCAATCTTCCACACCCATCTCCTCTCGGCTCAGAAACAATCTCAGCGTGATCACCTCCCACCATATTCATTCTTCGGCAGACTGTAATACCTGCTTGTAGTTAAGAATTGAATGAACTTCTGCCATCATTTCTCCCCTATCATTCCCCTGGCCCCAGGTGGGGCCATTTTCTCATAGCTTCTCCAACGTAGCAAAGCTGGTCGGCACTCTGAAAAATGCCAGGGCCTTTTCTCTCGGCCGCAAACGTATTTCAGATCTTCATGTTCGGGGTTGAAACGTCGATGGTAGTCGGCGTAGTTCCCGTCGCCTGTTCTTGCCGCAATAAGACGATGGTACGCCCATCTTGGTAAAGCTAGTTCCGGTGGTCTTTTGCAACGCATGAATAGGTCCAGATCTTTGTATCGTTTCGGTCGATACTTCTGCCACCACACTTCCACGAGCTCTTGGCTGCGCTGTTTAGCCCACCTCCCTAATGCCGCAAAGGTTAGATATTGAACTTCTCCACAGGGCACAGCTGAGGTTAGTGACCGGTTATTGGGAGCTCCCAAGGCTGATTTGGCCAGCTCATCGGCCTCTTCATTGCCTTGAATCCCCACATGACCGGGTAACCAGCGTATTTCCACACGCTTATTGTGTCTCAGCGACGAAAACTTGTCCACCACTGCCTGCGAGGAACTAGATCTTCCTCTTTCCAGCGCCCGAGCGGCCGCTTGATTGTCCAGAAGAATGTGAATCGGTAGGTCTTCTCCCACCGTTATTGCAGCTTCCAAGGCTTTAGTAGCGCCTACAATCTCCGCGTCAAAACCCTCTACTCCGGGAAGTGGACCGGAACCACTCCCAACTAGCTTGCCTCTTTGTTATGCTACGTATTCCCAGGCTAATTTTCCAGGGCCCGACGAAGATCCGTCAGAGAAGGCACAGATTGTCTCGGCTGGCAGGGAGGCTAACCATCGCTTTATGCTTTTAGACCTAGCTTCTTTTTCTCGACTGCATGGAGTCGGTGCTGGGGAGCCGTGTGGGAAGTAGAGCTTTCCAGGGCCTTCGGCTATCGGAACTTGACGCACGCTCATTTGCAGGCGTTTCATGTATCGTTCTGGCTGTCTGAATAGGCGATCTCTTTGTCCAGATCGAAGACCTAAGAGTCTGATAGTATCTTTCGGGCCCTCAGCCGCCCGGAGGGCTAGAGGATGCCACACATCCATTCTTCGCATGCGGGCTGCCGATCGCAGCGTCTTTTGCTGGAGGATGATGGATGCCGGGGGCACTCCCGCTTCACGATGGAGAGCGCTATTGGGAGTGGTACGCCACGCTGGGAGTGCTACTCGAATAGCTTTAATTATCGTTTTGTCTAGCAG